AGTAAAAATCATTTACATTAAAATAAGCAGACTAGATAACAAACATTATTGGCACATAAGATGAATGAACTTTCAATCAATTTAATTTGAGAAAAAAATATACATAATAAATCATACTGTAAAGTAAACAAATAATAACAATGAAAGAATGCTTCTGTTTTCTTCAGTCTTAACACATTTCACCTAATGAAAGAATGCCATGTTATGGAAACAGGGTCCATTTTCAAAATGCATGAATCCACAATCATATCAACAAGTTCTCCATCAATGCTTCTATACTTAAAGTCATCCAGAACAGTGACATCACTTTCTCAATTAGACAAAAGCTGAAGATGAAGAGAGTGGGCTAACACCAGCAAATCACCCGACCCAATCTTCTCCCATTTATACTCAACATAAAAGGTTTTTCTAAGAACAGCATCACCTAACACAATAGCATAAACTGAACTTGTCAAGAACACCCTCGTGTTTCAAATCAGAATCCGGCAACAAAACTATCCGAATTATGCTAGAAAAGCATCAAAAGTGATCTTAGATAGGTTAACACTGAGCTTGATTGGCGAGGAAGCATATAATAATATTGCGAGAGTCCAAACGTCATGCATTTAAAACTTGTGACACGTTATCACAGGCTGTGGTTTATGTCATTGCCAGATGTCGAATAAGAGGAAATTGGTGTACTTTTTTGAACAACTAAAGTATGTCAGAATATGTGTATGAGGAAAGAGAAAAACCGCATTAAAAAATGAATGGTTTTTTTCTTCTACAGGTCCACGACATTTTTTCTTCAATATATAACAATATTGAGAGAGTCCAGGAGTCATGCATTGAAAACTTGGGACACGTTATCACAGGCTGTGGTTTATGTCATTTCCAAATGTGGAATATGAGGCAACTAGGTGACTTTTTAGACAAACTGAACCATGTCAGAATATGTGTATGAGGAAAAAGAAAAATCGCATTAAAAAATGAATGATTTTTTCTTCTATATATCCACAACATTTTTCCTTCATTATATAATAATATTGAGAGAGTCCAGACGTTATACTTTGAAAACTTGTTATATGTTATCACAGGCTGTGGTTTATGTCATTTCCAGATGACGACAATTGGTGTAATTTTTTTACCAACTGAAGCATGTCAGAATATATGTATGAGGAAAGAGAAAAACTGCTTTAAAAAATGACTGGTGTTTTGTTCTACAGGTCCACAACGTTTTCTCTTGAATATATAATAATATTGGGAGTCTAGGCATCATGCATTGAAAACTTGTGACACGTTTTCAATTTCAAAACTTGTGTCATCTCACTTGACACAATATTTGAGCTGCATTAATTTCCAAAGTTGTAAGTGTTGATCCAATGGCAAAAAGAAAGGAATCACAGTATTCAAGACCCATCAAGGCTGCAGAATAATATGCGTTTATAGCTTCACTGGTGTACAACTGATATCTTCAATCTTGAAACACAGCTAACCATACATCCCAAGAGTGCAATACGTAAAGGTTAAAACACCTTAAACGTGTATACTTGGAGTTTAATTTTGTGCTCAAGTTCTTAAAATTTTCCGTGAGTGAATATGCTGGAGGTTTATACTTCCTACCCCATTCTTGGTCAATGTAAGAAAGCACTGCAATTCCATAAAGGAAGTATCCCAAAACACAATGATGATCACAATAAGCTCGAAACTAAAAATTATCACCGGTACCAGTACAACTTTGTTTGGTATAATCTCACCCCATGTCTAATCATATAAAAATCCATTCCCATTAAAAGTTCCTTCCAGGAATGGCTCGATGGCTTCTTTCAAAAATTTCTTAATCTTTGGACTCACATCAGTGAAGAAAACCTCTTCCGCAATCAATACTAACCTTGCTGCCCATGCAATTAAAACTCCATTCACCATGATATTTGGTTTTGCTGATGAATCTAGACTCTCGACATCCTTAGAAAGCGCTGAAACAATCTCAGCAAGGGATTTTTCACTGATACCCTGGAAGAATGCTGTTAAAGAATCATTTCAACCCGAAACCTTAAGGTATTAGGTGAGAGCCTTTTTAATGAATTACATTATATTCTCTCGCACACCCCATCTCGCAAGAGCCCTTTGGGCTTGAAGCGTGGATTATTGCATAGGCCCAATTTTTTGTTTACCTTATGCTTATTTAATTCCACAAGTGGGGGCTGTGAGGATCGAACTCGTGACCTCATGGTCACTCAAGCTCTGATACCATGCGAAGAACCGATTCTAATATCTAATAAGCCAGTTTTTGATCACTCAACAGGACGAGTGATAGGCAGCCCCTCCTCAATATCAATACCAGTCGCACAATGCGTTGAATAACAGGGGCATCAAGGGAACGAAGAATCTGACGCTGGTATTTGATCACCAGTGTCAATAGTACCAATTCAGCAGGTAATATGAGTGCCATGCCCCAGGAAATCAAAACCAAAAGAAGAAAAATAACTATCAAACCAAGACATACGTTGAAAAGTTATCTGACCAGAGTGATTGCTTCATACTTGATATATTTGAAGAGGTGGTTAAGGAAGAGAAATTTGATGATCAAGAGCTCGAAGAAGAGTTGAAAGATCAAGATGAAATGACTGTACAAGAAGAGCTTGAAGTTGTGTTTGAGGTGTTAGAAAAGAAAGAAAATGATTTAGTTCCAGTAGCACCAAAAACAGAATTGAAAGAGTTATTGAAACTCTGAAGTATGCCTTCTTGGGAGATGAAGAGCAATACCCTGTTATCATCAATAGGGAGTTGTCTACGAATGAAGAGGGGAAGCTGTTGAAAGTGCTTAAGGAGCACAAGACGGCTATTGGGTAGTGTATTTTTGATTTGAAGGGCATCAATCCTTCTTTCTATAATCACAAAATTCTGATGGAAGACAATGTTAAACGTATGAGACAGCCTCAAAGAAGATTAAACCCCACAATGAAGGAAGTAGTTCGCAAGGAAGTAGTGAAGCTCATGGATGCTGAAAGATTTACCCAATTTCTGACACTGCATGGGTAAGTCTAGTACAGATAGTTCCAAAGAAAGGAGGAGTTACTGTTGTGAAAAATGAGCTACTTCCCACCAGAACTATTACTGGTTGGAGGATGTGTATGGACTACAGAAGACTGAATGATGCAACAAGGAAGAACCATTTTTCCCTTCCTTTCATTGATCAGATGCTGGAGAAGTTAGTCGGTCATGCCTTTTATTGTTTCTTGGACGGTTACTCCGGCTATAACCAAATTCCAGTAGCACCAGAGGATCAGGAGAAGACGGCTTTCACATGCCCATTTGGAGTCTTTGCCTACAGAAGGATGCCATTCGGCCTCTGCAATGCGCCTGTGACATTTCAATGGTGTATGCTTTCTATTTTCTTTGATATGGCAGAAAAATCCTTAGAGGTATTTATGGACGATTTTTCTGTTTTTGGTTCTTGTTTTGATTCATGCTTAGTTAATTTAGCTAAGGTTTTGAAAAGATGTCAGGAAACCAATCTGGTTTTAAACTGGGAAAAGTGCCATTTTATGGTGCAGAATGGCATTGTGTTAGACCATAAAATTTCTGAACAAGGAATTGAAGTTGATAAGGCTAAGTTAATGTTAATTGAAAAACTTCCCCCTCCCGTTAATGCTAATGTTGTACGAAGTTTCTTAGGTCATGCAGGTTCTTATCGGAGATTCATTAAGGATTTCTCAAAGATTGCAAAGCCTCTTAGCCAACTGTTGGTGAAGGAAAATGAATTCCTTTTTGATGAAGCTTGCCTCAATGCATTCAATATGTTAAAGGAAAAGCTTACTACAGTCTACAACGCCTGTTCTAACGGCGCCGGATTGGAGTCTTCCTTTTGAACTCATGTGTGATGCGAGCACATATGCCATGGATGCAGTATCGGGTCAGCGTAAGAATAAGTTATTGCATGTTATTTACTTTGCTAGCAAAGTTTTTCATAAGGCACAAGTCAATTATGCCACCACTGAAAAAGAAATGTTAGCAGTAGTTTATGCATTAGATCAGTTTAGGCCTTATTTGATAGGTTCTAAAGTAATTGTATTTACTTACCATGCTGCTCTTAAGTATTTGATGACCAAGCAAGATGCAAAGCCACGTTTGTTGCGTTGGATACTCCTATTCCAGGAGTTTGACTTGGAAATCAGAGACAAAGCTGGAGTGGAAAACAAAGTAGCTGATCACTTGTCTAGGATTCAAGATAAGGACTTGCAAGAAGGACCTGAAATAGAGATCAATGATTCCTTTCCTGATGAGCAAGTGATGGCTATTATTATAAGTCCATGGTTTGCGAACTTTGCAAACTACAAAGCTGTTGGACTAATGCCTGATGATCTTACTTGGCAGCAGAAAAATAAATTCTTTCATGATGCAAAGAAGTATCACTTAGATAACCCTTTTCTTTATTTTCAATGTGCTGATGGTGTTATTCGTAGATGTGCTGCTGAATTTGAAGTGCCGGACATTCTGTGGCACAGCCATGCATCTAACTATAGAGGGCATTTTGGAGGCAACATGAATGCACAAAAGGTGCTGCAAGTGGATATTATTGGCCCACAATCTTCAAGGATGCACAAGATTTCGTGGAAAAATGTGACAAGTGCCAGAGGACGGGAAACATATCCCGTAAAGATGAGATGCCCCTCAACTGCATACTAGAGGGGTTTGATGTTTGGGGAATTGACTTTATGGGACCCTTCCCTACGTCATATTCTAACCAATACATCTTGGTTGTTGTGGTCTACGTGTCCAAGTGGGTAAAAGCTGCCGTTTTACCTACTAATGATGCAAAAGTGATGATGTTTTTCTTGCGAAAGAACATTTTCACCCGCTTTGGAGTTCCTCGTGCTATCATCAGTGATTGGGGCACTCACTTCTGCAATAAGCAATTTGAAAGCTTGCTTGCAAAGTATGGTGTTACTCACAAGGTGGCTACACCATACAATCCTCAGACCAGTGGACAAGTAGAAATCTGAAATAGAGAGCTGAAGATGATTTTGGAGAAAACTGTAGGCAACTCAAGGAAAGATTGGGCAAGGAAACTTGATGATGCATTCTGGGCATACAGGACCGCTTTCAAAACACCTATAGGTATGTCACCATTCCAACTGGTATATGGTAAGTCTTGTCATCTTCCTGTAGAATTAGAACATAAAGCCTTGTGGGCCACTAAATTTCTGAACTTTGAACCATCAAAAGCTAATGATAAAAGATTACTGCAATTAAATGAGCTAGATGAGTTCAGGTTGGTGGCTTATGAGAATGCCAGGATTTATAAAGAAAAGACAAAGAAGTGGCATGACAAGAAAATCCAACCAAAAGAGTTTGAGCCAGGACAACAGGTATTACTATACAACTCTCGATTGAGGTTGTTTCCAGGTAAGCTCAAGTCTCGTTGGTCTGGTCCCTTTGTTTTTAAGAAAGTATTTCCATATGGTACAATTGCCCCTCTCAATACTGAAAGATTTTTCAAGGTCGACGGGTGTAGATTGAAATTATATCATGGAGGGCAAGTAAATAGCGACACAATTATTGTTCCTCTACTTTCACCTGAGATTTAAATAGTCTGAGTCAGGCTCGTGACGTTAAACAAGCGCTAGTTGGGAGGCAATGATGTGCCTCTGGCAAGTGTGGTTTTTCCATGTTAAAATTGATAAGAATTGGGTCATAAGAGAGCAATTTAAATACATATTTGCTATTTATATTGATTCTTTCTATATCAATAATATTCACCTTTTGGTTGTGTTTTTACAGGAAAAGAGGAGTGAAAATTACAAATTATAAAAAGCCTGTTGACGCGACTCCAGGAAAAATTCCACCCGGGTGCAGGATAGGCCAAAGTCCAGAGAAATGGCGCCACTTAGCGCCAAACTCATGCTAAGTGACGCCAAAGTGAAGCATCATGGCGCCACTAGGCGCCCATAAGAAAGACCACTAGCGCCCACAAAGAAGGAAAGTGGCGCCAAGTGGCGCCCAAAAGATGAAGAATGGCACCAACTGGCGCCGAGTCACGAGAATTGGTTGAGTCAGCAGCTCCGCGCGAAGTGGCGCCGGGTTGCGGGAAATTATACCGTGTTTTCGCGGGGGTATTTTTGGAAGAAGAAAAAAAATAAGTTTATAAATAGGATCCTTGTGCTAGACCTAGAGATCGGATTCAGACCTAGTCTTTTGAAGGAGGCTGACGGCAGAGCTCAGGAGGATTCTTCTACATTTCTTCTTCTTCTCTTTTCTTCGTAATTTTATGCTTTGGAATATTGGATTATTTTTAGCCATGATTATGCTTGGCTAGTTTTCTTTTATTGTAGTTAGGGTCACGAGCCCTATGTGAACCCTTGTTACGATGGATTGATTTAGTTTTATTCATTTATATAATTATCTTTGTCTCTACCTTGTGCGTATTTCCTATTCTCTTTATTAGAACTGATCAATCTCATAGTTGGGAATAGTTTGAGGGTTAGAACCCTAGATAGGAATATTGGGGTTTTGATCTTGAAAGGGGGTAAGACAACAATTGGTGTGCATGCTAGGAATAGATGTGTATTTAATTGCGGATGCTTAAATTATTGTGTTCATTTCTTAATACCATGAGGAACATTGCAAGGAATTGGGGTTCCAATTGGAGATTAAAGGGTTAACCTTGCAAGGAATTGAGGGTTAACTAATAAATATTTATAGATAATAATTTATCCGAGTAATTATAAGAATAAATATTGTGAATCGATCCAAAGTAAGAAGTGGGGATCATAAGGTGAGTGCGCTCTAGCTACAATAGTTTCTCATATTTTTAAAACCAATTCTCATTGTTACTATTTTATTTCTCTTAAATAAAAATATAAAAACAAGTCTTTATTTTTATTTCATATTGTTACTCAAATTCAATTCACAATTTTCCAAACAACAAACCGAGTTTTCCAACTTAAGGGGACTGGTTATTGTAGTACTTGGTTTACAATCCCTGTGGAGACGATACTTTACTTACTCATTATATTACTTGTGCGATCGGTATACTTGCCGGAGAGCATCAAGTTTTTGGCGCTGTTGCCGGGGATTGCTAATTCCAATATTACAAATAACCGTTGATCTTTGAGATTGGATTTTATTTTTTTTATTTTATTTTATTTTATTTTATTTTGTTCTATCTTGTTTTCTGTTTGCAGGTGCTACTAATTATTTTGTTTTCTGAGTTTATGCGAGGTAGACTTGCTCCTACAGATTTTGTGATTGATTCTGAAATTGCAAGAACTGAGACGAGACTGAGGAAAGTTGCCAAGCAGATAATCTGGGAAGAATTCAACAACGTACCTGTACAACCAATATAAGCGATTGCTGGCAACAACAATGCAAACAACCCACCTCCAAGATTGTTGGACACCATTCTGACTCCGGTGTTCAATAGGCCAAATTCAAGTATAATCAGGCCGACGCTGGAGGCAAACAATTTTGAGCTGATGCCATCTCTGATTACTTTGGTGGAAAGGGTTCAGTTCTCTGGTGCTGAGGAGTAAGATCCTCATGAGTTCATAGATCGATTTCTGATGATCTGTGACACTACCGAGCACAATGGAGTGTCGGCCGATGCTGTCAGGCTTCAATTATTCCCTTTTGCTGTTAAGGGAAAATCTTTCAGATGGATAGAAAGGCAGTCAGCTAATAGTATCACGACATGGGAAGACTTGTCATCAAAGTTCTTTGCCCATTTCTTTTCTATGGAAAAGTACAACCAGCTGGTAAATGAAATCACAAACTTCCGCCAACTTGAAGGAGAATAACTGTGTGCAACCTGGAATAGATTCCAGGAACTTATCCGGAAGTGTCCGCACTATGAAGGAGACGATGAAAGAAAGGTGGCAATATTCTTTAATGGCTTCTCTCCTGAAACAAGGTTGGTGATTAATAGTGCAGCTGGAGGTTCTATTCGGCAAAGTACTTCTGAACAAGCCATTGATTTGATAAAGAAGCTGGGAAGGAATGAGAATGAGAGCATATCAGCTCAAATGAAAAGAGGGGTGATAAAGCTGGAAAGCAATGATGCGATGCTTGCTAAACAAAAGCTGTTGTCCAAAAAGTTTGACAGCTTGAATGAGAAGTTTGAGAAAATGCAAGTGTCCAAGGTTCAATCAACTTCTGTGGTTTGTGAATATTGTAAGGAAGCTCATGAGTCTAATGAGTGTCCTACTCTCATGGGTGATCATCCACAGCAGTTGCAAGTGAATGGGGTTTGGTATGAGCAGAAGCCCCAACAGATTTTTTCAAGAAATCAGAATTTTTCTTCTGGAAGAAATTTTCAGAAGAGAGGTCAAGGAGGTGGTCTTGACTACAGTTGTAACAATTATATGCAACCTTCTTCTGTTCCACAGAAGGAACTTTCTGATTTGGAGAAGTTAATTGGACAAATGGCTCAGCACTCCAATGCTTTCATGGAGGAGACTAGAGCCAATACAAAGAACACAAATGCTTTCATGGAAGAGACTAGGGCTAATACCAGAAACATGAGTGCTTCCATCAGAAATCTGGAGAATCAAATTGGCCAGCTGGCCAAGCAAGTTGCTGATAGAACTCCAGGTAGTTTCCCTAGTAATACAGTCACCAATCCAAGGGAGGATTGTATGTTTGTCACCACTAGAAGTGGTAAAGTGGTAGCAGCTCCAGAAAAGCCGAGAATAAATATGGAAGCTGAAAAGAAGAAGCTAGATACTGCAGGTGAGCCCGCAAAAGAAAAAGAAAGTGAAAAACCTGCTGAAGTGGAGAAGCCAGTTGAAAAGAAGAAGTTTGAGCTGAGTCCTGAATATGTGAGAAACATGGCACCTTATCCAGAAAGGTTTAAGAAAGATGCAAAAAAAACAACATTATGAAAGATTTCTGGTCATATTCAAGAAATTGCATATCAACATTCCTTTTGCTGAAGCTCTGGCTTGCATGCCCAATTATGCCAAGTTCATGAAGGACTTGTTGTTATCAAGAAAGCATAAGCTGCAGGAATGCCAAACTGTAACACTCACTGAGGAGTGTAGTGCCATTATACAGAAGAAGTTCCCACCCAAACTCAGTGATCCAGGGAGTTTCAAAATTCCTATTGAAATTGGGGACACAAAAATTGGCAGAGCAATATGCGATCTTGGGGCTAACAATAATTTGATGCCCCTTTCTGTTTGTAAATCTTTGGGGATCACCGAGTTGAAACCCACTTTGGCATCTCTTCAGCTTGCTGATAAATCTTTGAGGAAGCCTAGTGGTATTATTGAAGATGTTCTTGTGAAGGTGGACAAGTTCATCTTTCCTGCTGACTTTGTAGTGTTGGACATGGAAGGGGGAGCTGAGATGCCTCTGTTGCTGGGTAGACCTTTCTTAGCCACTACTTGGGCACTAATTGATGTTGAAAACGGGAAGCTTAAGCTAAGAATTAATGATGAGATCGTCACCATCAATGACTTTGATTCTCTAAAACAGTCTTCTCACAAAGATGATTGTTTTAGTCTTGAAGTAAAGGAAAAACAAAGTGTAGCGGATGATGCCAAGGAAGATGGTGCCATGAAGATGGATTGGAAGGAGCTTCCTCAACCTCAGAAAAATGTCTTCTTGAGTAATAAGAAGGCGATAATTGAAGCATTGGAGGAAGAGGAAACTGAATTGAAAAATAAAGATCCTTTTTCCCATACCAACAAAATTCTCAATGAGGATGATGACAAATCTGGGAGGAAATCCAAAAGGAGGCGTCATCCTATGTTGAAGAAGGTACTGAGAAAGGAAGTGGTGAAACTCTTTGATACAAGTTGGAAGAGACATCAGGAGCTGAAGTTTGACAAGAGACACCGAGACTCTATCTCTCAGAAAAATCAAAATTTCAAAGAGTTCTTAACATGGCTCCATGGTTTGGAGCAAATCTAGGAATGATGGTCTCATACACCAAGGCAACCAGTACCACCAGACCTTCCATTTGCTGAGTCATCCCACGCTGCTGAGGGGGATGACATGGAGGGTTGAGTTTATCTCCTTGCTAATGGAGATTTTGTATATTAGTTTATTTTTCTATTTCGTATTTTTCTTTTTAGTTACTTTGTGTTAGTATATCTTTCTCTGATGTTTTAATGTGCGCATTATAGTTTCTTCTATATGCCACTATTTGTTCTATTGTGCAGGTTTTTCTTCTTTCTCGTGGTTTAATTATTGCTGAGGACAACAATTCTCTAAATCTGGGAATGGTAGGCTTGCACCTGAGAACTGCTGCAATTCTTCTATCAGGGGAGATATTCTAACTCTTTTAATTTTCTTAGTTATTTTTATAGTATTTTGTGTGCTATATAAAAAAAAATAAAAATTTGAACATGTTTTCTGAGCAAGTCCCAGGTTTAGATATGCTTCCTCTAGTTAAATTGTCTGATTCATCCTATGAATCATGTTTTGAATGAACTTCTAGCATAATATTGTATTGGCATGAGTAGATTTCATGATTGCTCGTTTGTCTCAATTTTGTGCTTGAATGATTAATGATGCCTGACGTCCTTTTGAAAGTCTAGTTTGACATCATAGCTAGTGAGGTTTTGTGCTTAAACACTTATTTTATTCTGAGAGACCTCACTGTGATAGCATTCTAGAACTTGCTCTGTTTCTCTGTTATGCATGTATTGATTGATATGATAAAGGCATTTTGTTCTTGTTAGCTATTGACCAAAAATAACCCACCTGAATGAATTTTTCCATTGTTAGCCCCTTTGAGCCTGAACTTATTTGTTGTTAAATGACCTGTGGCCTGATTGATGGCTTAGCCTATATCCATATGACTTACCTTGATTGAGATTGAATTACTAAAATGTTGAAAAGAAAACAAATAAATTGAGGTAGGCTCCACAGAGGTCAAATAGTTAGGGGAGGTAAAATTTCATCTGTACCCTTAAAACAAAAAGTTTTGAAAAAAAGAGAAAAAAAAGAAGGGTGAATGTAAAGAAAAGGTGGATGAAAGGAATTAATTCCCGAAATTCTGTGGGAATGTTAGTAGAGCAAAAATCATTGAGCTGAAGGTGTTCAAAATGAAATAATATCAGTTTTCAATCTCATTGTTGTTTGAGCTGCTGTCCATAAATTCCTACCCTTAAGCCCAGCCAAGTTACAACATGTGAAGTCCTTTTGATCAATCATGCATGTGTTAATGTTCCTTATCTTTAGGAACTTGAGAATATGATCAAGCTTATGGTAATGTTATTGCTGTGATGGATTGAGTGATTGTTACTCCTTTAAACACTTGAGTGTTGAGCGCTATATGATTATCTTGGTGAGGGGTGTCCAAGCTAGATTCTGACATTTTCATGAGAATAGAAGGCATTGTTAGGAGTTCTTTGCATTGATTCAGTCATGCTTAGCATAGTGATCTCTTGATTGTCTGTATGATGTTGTATTGGAAGAATTAATTGTTTCCTGGATTGAGTCTTGTACATTGCTGGGGACAACAACGTTTAAATCTGGGAATGATTTGATGTGTCTCTGGAAAGTGTGGTTTTTCCGTGTTAAAATTGATAAGAATTGGGTCATAAGAGAGCAATTTAAATACATATTTGCTATTTATATTGATTCTTTCTATATCAATAATATTCACCTTTTGGTTGTGTTTTTACAGGAAAAGAGGAGTGAAAATTACAAATTATAAAAAGCCTGTTGACGCGACTCCAGGAAAAATTCCACCCGGGTGCAGGATAGGCCAAAGTCCAGAGAAATAGCGCCACTTAGCGCCAAACTCAGGCTAAGTGGCGCCAAAGTGAAGCATCATGGCGCCACTAGGCGCCCACAAGAAAGACCATGGCGCCAACTAGCGCCCACAAAGAAGGAAAGTGGCGCCAAGTGGCGCCCAAAAGATGAAGAATGGCGTCAACTGGCGCAGAGTCACGAGAATTGGTTGAGTCAGCATCTCCGCGCGAAGTGGCGCCGCACCGGCGCCAACTGGCGCCGGGTTGCGGGAAATTATACCGTGTTGTCGCGGGGGTATTTTTGGAAGAAGGAAAAAAATAAGTTTATAAATAGGATCCTTGTGCTAGACCTAGAGGTCGGATTCAGACCTAGTCTTTTGAAGGAGGCCGACGGCAGAGCTCAGGAGGATTCTTCTACATTTCTTCTTCTTCTCTTTTCTTCGTAATTTTATGCTTTGGAATATTGGATTATTTTTAGCCATGATTATGCTTGGCTAGTTTTCTTTTATTGTAGTTAGGGTCACGAGCCCTATGTGAACCCTTGTAACGATGGATTGATTTAGTTTTATTCATTTATATAATTATCTTTGTCTCTACCTTGTGCGTATTTCCTATTCTCTTTATTAGAACTAATCAATCTCATA